GTTTATTCTCTTTAAAACCACAGAGTTATCTAAAAAGAGAGAAATTTTATCTCATCTGCTTAGAACCTTAAGAGACCTGGGAATTAACGTTTTCTTCAGAACTTGAAAATAAAAATAAAGAATCAAGAAACTAAGCTACAGAGGAGTAGCATATATTATGCAGTGTATCTGGTAAATATCAAGTGCCTACATTGGGAAGAAAATTGAAAAAGATGAGATTAATACTGATACCAGAAACTCTGTGTAGTGCTATTCTCCCTCCATATTAAGTTGTTCCATTTAGGCTTCCTTAAAGGTATTAAGAACCAGATAAATGCAGTAGCTCTTTGTAGCAGCTGTGTGCTAACAGCAGGTGATTTTGTGGTCTGTAGTGACTACGTGCTGTTTTTTATGTAGAGAAAATGGCTAATCATTGTGCCCTTGTCTAAGGCATGCTTCATCATCCTCAAGTACTTTTTTGGCCAAAGAATTCTAAACATAGAGCTGTCCCCTAATAAGCTCAGTATTGGATTGAACAAGTCTGATTTGAGAACTATTGGCAGGAGGAGCTGTAATTATTAAATTTACTGAAGAATGAAGCAAGGTACTATAGTTGGCTTTTTGTCAAATGGCTGTGGTCTTATTAGTAAAAAGTAATCATCTGCTGGGTCAGAATGAAAGAGGCTTCGAAGGATTCATTCTGTCCTAATTACAGTCTCACCTATACATATTATGTAAAGCTAATATTTAAAGCATTTGCCAAAATTAACTTCCACTGCATGTTCTATTACAGTGTAGTGAATTGTAGTAGCTTTTTATGCCTGGCATCTTTTGTATTCTGTAATAATCTGTAATTATGGGTTAGCAGCAAATGCCATGTGGCTTGTTTAATCTGACAATCTGAAAAGACAACCCTGAATAGATTTCTCTTTAAATGAATGTAGTTGCACAAAGCCTTAGCATCGATATCTTCATTTTGCATTTCTGTACGTGATCTGTTCTTTTATGATTTCTTGTTAAATTTCTAAATAAAAGTAATTTCAGATGTTCCTGTTATCTCCCCAGATGAATTAAGGAAGCCCCATATGTTTTTAAAGTTTCAGGGCTCCAGAATTGTAAGTCAGATCATGAAATTTAATTGGCAAACTACAGCATTATAATGCAACCCTGGTCTTGCAACCTTGGCACTTCTAGTCCACATTGCCAGGCAGAGAATAAAATTGGCAGTGCTTAACCGATCGCACAGCATCTGTTCTCCCTGGCATTGTTGGAGGAGTGAGAGGAGTAAAGTTAGTGGATAACAACCAGTCTGGGACTCAATCAAGACAGGGGGTCAATTAGTGCAAGCTAGCAGCAGAGCAGCATGCCAATGGGTCAACCTCTTTTTTAGTAGAGTAAAAGTGCTATCATGATATCTTTTATGAAGGAATGCAAATGGGCAGGACAGCAGTTGTAGGGAAATCAGGGAAGTTCTACAAAGACGGGGTGGGGATTGCTAGGCTCTTTCCTTAGGTCACAAGCAAAGCTGAAAGTACTGAAATACCAGAATTCTTTTAAGACAGCGTGCTTTTGATCAGTTTAATAGATGTGATTGGCATACCCTGTTATGCCTCCCATTGTTCAAGGTCAGATCCATTGCAAGTTCTATGGACGCTTACCACAGTATGATGTGGTATGAGACCGTGAAGACATGGGACTTTCAGTGATGCAGCTGTGTAGTGGGGACAGGATCTTTTGAGAGGCTGGAGCAAGCCCTGCAATAAACGGCAGGGCAAAGATTTGGTAAATCCTCTGGAAACAGGCGATGTGGGGAGAGAAGAGGACTATTCCCCTCTCTGTTTCAGTAACTTTCCAAGTGCTATCTCTCACAAGGAATCTGTTATACCTAGGATTATTTGTGAAATTTTCTTTGTCCTCCTTTCTGTAGGTTCCAGGTAAAGTGGTAGATTGCAGTATAAGATACACAGAGAATAATTTTGAAATTGTGTTAAGTATATTAAAGTGTAATATTTAAACCAGAACAAACTTTTAGCAGCTGACAATAGACATCAGTAGGAAGCTTTTCTTGCATCATCAGAACTTGCAGACAGCAAGTCTGTGGTGCTTTCATATACCTACGGAATCACAGGGCTTGTCTACATGAAGGCTGATGAACTGTTCCTCTAGCTGATATCGACAACAGCTTCCTCTAGCTACAGTACGGACATACTAGTGCTGCCTGTGCTCATTAACCGCACCTAACTAGCCTGGTTTCAGTGTCACACTGACAAAAGTATGCTTTCTCCAAGGATAGTATAGCATTGTAGCCCTTCACTGTACAGTTTAGATGTGCAAAAGCTAACTTGGACTGCATTGTGCCATGATCTGCTTACCTGCTTCTGACCTTTTACCTGTCATTACAGGACCATGAACATGTATGAGGGAGAATTAAAATGGATCCTTTCCTTCAAAGCTTTTTTGTTGTTTATATTAAATTATGCAAACATTTAGGAAAAAGTAAAATTGAGGTTTTTTGGTGACCCTTCCTATTGACAGGAAAGCCGGTTACATGAAAATAGGTAGCATTAAACAAGAAGTGCTAAGCATCTTCTAATGTTAATAGATAGCAAAATCAGACTATTGAATAGAGTCTAGTTGTAAGGAAATAATATTTTATGGGAATTTTTTTGCCATTATAGGCAAAAACATTTTGAAACCTGTTCTTTATAGATCACAAATCTGTTAGATTTGTGATTGGAAGGTAGTAGTTGCATTGCATAGATACAGTGGTCCATTAATTATTGATTTCATGTATTTTCCCCCATTTGTCATATTTCTCCAAACATATTTTAAACTCTTTTTTGCATAGATCGATCATTTTTCCTAATATATTTCAATTTCTGAAGAAAAGGTTTCCCCCTTCTCATGTTTAGTCTTAGTTTTTATTTAAAAATTAGAAATAGAAAGTACTTTTCTTTAAAGGCTTTGCTGTTTGCCTTTTTACTGAAAGGGGACAAAAAGTACACTTCTTAAAAACACTTAATATGTGGTGCATCCAGATTGGCACAGTTTGTGTTTTGTGAGGGATATTCTAGAGATGGGTTGTCTGTAACCGCATCTCTCTATACCTGAAGCTTAGAATTAGAAAGGAGTGAGACTTCTTTAAGCTAATGGAAAATACAGGTAGCTAAGCTGAACTGAACTCTCTTAGGCTCCCTCTAAACGTAATGGAGAAAGAGAAGAGTTTCCAGAGAGTGATTCATCCCATTTCTCCAATTTGGGCTTCTGACTGAGATGAATCTGTCTGTACAGGTGCATCATTCTTTAGATAGCTAAAAGGGTGACGAGAGTTAAATTCCACCCTCAGTCATTACTTTTTCCTTCTACTACATAACTGTAGTCATTCAGAAGCTGTTCAGCCAAAGTTGAATTAAAGAGTTAACAACATATCTTAAGGAAATTCAGGAATCCTCCATTCATGCCACTGATACAAATTAGTGGTGATGGACCTGCAGCCTTTCCACAGAAGAGGTAATTTCAGGGACTGAGAAAAATAGCCAATATAACATACTTGTAGCAAATTACCAAGTGATCGTGTACGCATATAAATCACATTGCGCGAGCAAAAGACTGTACCATTGTAAAGGGAGCAGAGATGAGTTCACTCACGAAGACAGGTTGGCAAAGCAGCCATCTAGACTGCTTTAATGTGTAATGGTATGGCTTAGTTTGTAGAATTTGTGGTAAAGCTGTGATGGCTCGTGTTACTGTGTATTTTGATCTGCCCTCCAGAAACAAAGAGCATGGTTTAGATACTCATTTTAAGAATTCTAATATATTGAATGTCCAGTTGTTCCTGATTGAGATGTGCTTCTAGGAACAAATTACTAATATGTATCCTTTAAGTTGCAAATTTAATTTAAAATTCTCCTATTTTCAATAAGCATTACTGGGTTTGTTTGGTTGGTTTGTTTTTTGTTAGTGGTTTATTTGGGGTTTTTTTTTAGCTAAGGGAAACCATCACCAAAATCTGATTTGCTGTGTGGCAAAAATGTTTCAAGACTGCTTTATTTTATTTCAGCATAACAGGTTACATCTTACAGTTTACTTCTCAGTATGCTTCTCTTAATACTTCTGATTTAAGTTTTCTGTATCATTTTTAGATCAACAATACTGTATTCTGAGAGAAAACTCAATGAGAAATATTGTTCTCATATTATAAAAGAGGCAATGACAGATTTATGTCCCAATTCTTTTATTTTTTATTTTAATTCAAGAGTAAAATTTTTGGAGAAAGACTGTGGTAGGACTGGGAACAGACCTTCCAAATTTAAATTCGATGTTCTGCTCTTTGTATCATTGTATCACCTTTCTTTTCCATATGTCCCTTAGGAGCCTAAGGGAGTAAATTCGTGCACACAGGCACAATACAACCACAGTCAGGTTTGAGATCTTTCGGGGTTGCCACAAAACAGTAATAGTAGTAACTTATATGCTTGTAACAGGTCCCTCTCATTTCTTCAGGTTTTTCAGCAGAAGTTAACTGAAGGCATTTGACCTAGTGTGAGACTTCAGGTAGCTGGGAAGCTCACACGTCTTTGCTCCTAGGAACCTGAGAAGTGCATTACCTTACTTATCTGTGCAGTGCCAAGCGCTAAACACTTGGCATAAATATCCTGACAAAGATGAGCCAGCCTCTGCATTGTCCAGGTGCTGGTTAGTACTTCACTGATAAATTATTCTTCGAGCATCCAACTTACTTTCTTTTTGTCTTGTATAAACTTGCTTACGGTTCCTTCCTATATTTCAGCAGATGGCACTATAACTTAATTTCCTTGTATGCTATCAATATCTGGACATTTAATTCAGCTTCACTGAATGTTTTTGTGTTTGTAAATTTTTAAACCTCAATAATGTTATAGATAATAAAAATATAATATCTAATTTGTTTATATTAGTTTTCAAGGCCTTTATTTATTAAAATATTTGTGTTTATCTGAGTTTTGGAATAGTGTAAAAATTAAGTTGATTTTACCAACTATTAACAGGATGAAATGTTTCCCTTTTTGCGGTTCAGATCTAGTGCTCCCTAAAGATAGAGGAGAGCTAGAATCCCAAACGTCTCTTACATGCTTTACCCGCACCTTGGGGGGGGGGGGAGGGGGGAGGCAAATATATACTAATTGTTTACTTTTGCAGACGCAGAATGTATCCAATGCTTCAGAAACTAAAAATCTGTCATGACAGTCAGTATGCATTACAAATTTGCCTTTATTTTTCCAGTTAAGCCAATTAAGATGCCTTAAACTGCAAAAAGAAATTTATTAAACATTAGTTTTTATTGCGTATAAACACACAAATAAAGGGAGATGAGTTCGTCATACCATACTTACACGTCCAAGAGGTTACATTTTCTCAGTAAATACTGAATGAAAAAGTAACGTGGTTCAGAACGTTCTAGTTTGATGGATTTTTGGTGAGAAAGAAGGTGGGAAGTGTTTGCAGCAGTTTTCAATGTTAAATATAGTTTAAAATAGGTAAGGTGATCCTGAGGAATACAATCTTGATTTATATTCCCCTTGTAAATCCCCTCCCAAATTCAGGGCTTCCAGGTCCTGTTAAAAGAGAGAGGCTGCAGAAATATGTGCTTTGCCATATTGATCCTGTTTTCTCTTCTACCTGTGATCTTCTACAGTGTAATACTTTTCTGTATGGGTTCTTCAGCAGGTACTCTGAGCAGTTGAGGGTTGTCTGCCTGACAGAGTTGCTTTGACCAGCTCTGTACTTCATGGGTAATGTAGAGTGGATTTGATAGAAGAATCCAGTAACAATAAAGTACTGGGTTAGCAGGGTGTAGTATAAACATTAAGAAATTCCTGTTGTGAATTTAGATAACGTTGCACGCAAGTGGAAGGTATGCAACAAAGAAGGAGGTGGCAAAACCGTATTGAAATACCAGTGCATCTCACAAGATGACTTTCACGTAAGATAGGCACAATTAACTTCTCTTTCTCCCTCCAAGTTTTTCCAGCCTGAGACTTCTTAAAATGTAGTTGGGGCATGAGATTTGCTTTTTGAAAATGTTGCTGCTGTTAGATTGTGTTCAGTGTAGATAGCCCGGTCTTTGATTTGGTACTTTAAAATCATCCAGTATTATCCTCAACCTAACCTACAGCTATATGCTCCCTGGGGAAATTAAGATGGATTAGAGGTTTTGTGCATCTATGTGCCTTTGTTTTTCACAATGTAATGATGTGTATAAATACAAAAATCCACTGCGGTTGGAAGTGGACTTCTTACAACACAATTATGATCTCTACTTCATCAGCAATTTAAGATTTATTTTCACTAGATTAAGAAATTGTGTATTTTAGAAGAACTATGCTGATTACAAAGCTATGGTAAAGGAGGTATGGTAGGCCGTAAAATAATGAAGATGCTTCTTTAACTATCTTATGATTTTTGATGCTATTTATATTTGAGACCAGTCTTCATCAAAATACATATTTTCCATTACTGAGTTGGCTGTATCCTAACCTTGCAGTGCTCATCCTCTGTTTAAAACTCACGAAGAAGAGGAGACCAAAAGAAATACGTAAATCTCAGTGTTGTTTTCTGAACTCTTCTTTTAAAACTGATGTTCTTTCTCTTGCAGTGAAAACTCATATGCAACAAGGATTAATTTCTGTTGCTGCTCGTACTGTGATAACACATCTAGTCAACCACTTAGGCCACTATCCTATGAGTGGAGGTCCCGCTATGTTAACCAGTCAAGTGTGTGAAAACAACGACAATCCATACAGTGAAAGTCCTGAACTTTCTCCTGAACTTTTTGAGAACCCAAACCTTCAATTCTTTGTGTTAAACAATACTTCCCTGGTGTCTTGCATACAAATCCAAGCAGAAGATGACATGCCTGGGGGAGGACTGTCTGCTGGACTTGCATCTGCTAATTCAAATGTTAGAATTATAGTGCGTGATCTATCTGGCAAATACTCGTGGGATTCGGCCATTTTGTATGGACCATCATCTTTATGTGGATCTTCACAACAAACTTCTTTTGCACTTTCATTATCTCACCAAGATAAACCAGAAGATGCTCTTACATCCTCCACATGCTCCAAAGATGAATCTGCAAGGGATGGAATTACACTCCAAGTAAAAAGGAAATTTAGAGACACTGTACCAACATGGGATACCATTAGGGATGAAGAAGATGCCCTTGATGAGCTCCTGCAGTATTTAGGTGTTACAAGCCCTGAATGCTTACAGAGAACTGGTGTCTCACTCAACATTCCTGCTCCTCAACCAGTCTGCATCTCAGAGAAGCAGGAGAACGATGTCATCAATGCAATTCTGAAACAGCACACAGAAGAGAGGGAGTTTGTTGAAAAGCATTTCAATGATTTAAATATGAGGGCTATGGAGCAGGACGAGCCAACCTCACAAAAGCCCCAGTCAGCATTTTACTACTGCAGATTACTTCTCAGTATACTGGGAATGAATTCTTGGGATAAAAGGTAAAAAGAAAAGACTCACAATTTAAGAACGTTCTTTTAAGGAATTGTGCTATTCTTACTGTGTAATAATAGTTGATCATAGAGTGGGTTAAGCCAAAAATACTCTAGGCTAGCCAACAAAAGAGGAGAGGGAATATGTGCAGCTAAGGGGAAAATGGCAGTTTTCTTCTGCATTTCAACCTGTCGTTTAGAGAGACAGAAAGGAGGAACCTGTTGCCTTTATTGCTATTTATATTCTTTCCTTAGAACAGTGTTGGAAGGTGAATTAAAGGAGTGATATCTTTTCTAATAATCCTTTCACCAACTGTACTAAGGGGTACTAACCATGGGTAAAGAAGGCATCTTTTTTGCTTTCTTTGCTTCCCATGTATGTTCCTGCAAAAATCATTACCTTTCTATGCCAGAATGAGACTCTGAAAGTGTCGTATTCTCAGCTATTGTGTTGCTGGACAGTGTCCTGCTGCTTTGCCTGCTAAGAGCATGCTTGCATGCAGCCTCAAAGCATTGCACCTGTGTTAGCTAACGAGAAAGATGTGTCCCCGACTATTTATTTCAACATTGGCAATGTTTGGGTATTGTTTAGAACAACAGGAGACAAGCCACGTTCAGTTACAAAAGTAATGTCTCTGTTTACATTATTATTTTTGTGTGGGTGCAGTTAGGTGTATGCCTGCATATACATGTGGTATGTAAAAATATTAGCATCCTAGAATTTAAGGGTCTTTCTGAAATCTTATTTTGCCATAGCTGTCAAATTCCATATTAGAGGCATTGAAATATTTTCTTACTATGAAGGGAAATGGATATTTTGTAAAACAAAAATAATCTGTGTCACTGAGATATCACTGGAATCGGACAAAATTTTGGTGTTAACCCTTCTTGTTTGGGTCTTTAATTCCTCAAGGCAGTCTGGTTTTGAACAATACTGCTCTTAAACTCATTCCACTGTGTTTTGTGGGAAACATCTTAAGCGCAGTTTGAAAGAAATGAAAAGTGCCTTTCTTGCTCTAACATAACATTTTGTTTTTTCTTTAAATTGTTACAGCTGGCTGGGTGACTAGTGAGCTATGTTCTGCTCTCTTCTGCAATTCAGAATAGCAAAAGCTCTGTGTTTAATGCACTAGCTCCCTAGGACAGTAGGTTATGGGAGTGTCTTTTGTCACTAAACATGTATATTATGGCCTAGTAAAGTGTGCAGCTTATATATGCGTCAAAGGGAGTTCTGTCTCTTCTTCTGTAGAGAAGAGATTGATCCCAGTTGTATCCAATAGGTTGACAGAAGAAAGTGGAAAGAAGTAAAGGTTGTTTTCAGGGCTATAATGGATACAGAAGATTTCCTGGAGTAAAAAAAATTGCTTGTGTATTTTTTGAAAGATACCTTAATATTTTATATAAGAAAGGACTATTGAAAAGGCAAAAGCATTTGTTGACTGTTCTTGAATGGACCTGGAAATGTTCTTGTACCGTTCTTGTACCGTTCTGTATCCATCAGTGAACGGGTGATAAGAGTTACAAATTTCTCTATTTAGAAGGAGCTTTCATCTTCTGAAGAAAAATGAGAAGTTACTTCGAGAACTCAGGAATTTGGACTCAAGACAATGGTAAATTCTTTTAATGGCTGCCTACTTACTTGTTTTAAGTGTGCTTGTACTTAAATGGCTCTAATTGCATAGATGTGAGAGTTGAACTAATTTTTAAAATAGTTTTGTAAATTATTCATGTGTTTTTCACTGTATTGTAATTATTGGTGTTATATTGAAGTTACATTGGTGTTACTTGTAGAGTGAAACTCTACAAGTACAATATCAGGAGATAGAAGAAATTTCAAAATAACTTAAAATATGAACATTTGTATGCATAACATGGAATAGTTTTAAAACTTTGATATATCAAAATCTCCACGCTTCAAGCTTCAGCTAATTGTTTAGCTGTTTTCCAATGCTGTTACTATTCGAAGACATAGAATTCCAGTTGGAGTTGTAGCACAGAATTAAAAACTGAATTGTTTTTGTAGAAGTTGAAATAAAATGTAGTGGAGGTTTTAGAAGTGTGAGAAACCACCTTCAGTTGCTCCAGTGTCTAACAGCAAGCTGTGAACAGAAGACATTGCTATAGTACTTCAAGATTCTTCATTCAGTTGCATAAGCTGCGTTTGCCAGAGCATTCACAAGGCACTGTTGTTAATGGGCAGTGTGGTGTTGATAATGCCTGTGTTACAAGTTTTGCTCATTTCAGAAGCCCAGCTATTCCATTAGCAATTGGTACTGCCAGCACCATCCTACGTCTTAGAAGTGATGAAAGGGGTAAATGCTGTTCATGTATAGCAAAACTTTAGGCTCCAGAGAAGACCAGACTAGAAAAGACAGAATGGGAATATGGAAATATAGAAGGTATTCAAAAAGAAGCCATACAGTTGTACTTTACTTCCACTATCTTTTTCGATGCTTTAAAAGTCACGCTCTGTGCGTACTGTTTGCATATTTTGGTTTCATATTAGTAAAAGCACTGCCATGCACTGACCATTCTCTGTTTTACAGCCGAGAGACACACAAGATTGCAGTGTTTTATGTTGCTGAGGGACAAGAAGATAAACACTCCATTCTTACTAATACTGGGGGAAGTCAAGCCTATGAGGATTTTGTAGCTGGTCTTGGCTGGGAGGTATTTATTAAAACGTTTTTATCGTAAGTTTGTTAACAGAGAAAATTACAGATCCCTTTAGATATTACAAGTCTTTGGCTCTTTAGCATTGCTCACAAATATTGAAATACACTGTTTTGCAAGTAGGATGTAGAGAAGAATTCTGGTTTTAATTTCATTAGCAATACTAGCTATTTAATTTTAAGCTCTTTCAATTTAAGAAAGTTTGTGCAGGCAGAGATGATTCTTTAATGTGCAGTCCTGTACTTGGCTTTCATGGACTGATAAGGAGGCACCTTGATTTCCCTATAGGCCTGTAAAGTGTTAAGTCCATTGAAATTTGAGATTTGCTCAAATTTGGGAATCCAAAAAATACAAACGTGCAGCTTCTCTCATGCTCCCTTCTTCCTGCCTTCCACTGCAGGCATGCATCTGTTCACACACTCTGCTCCATGTCTTTTCCAGCAGTCAGAAATACTGTGATGTACCCCATCATCTGTATGGACCTGCAACTCCTTAGTCACTAGTTCAATACTGTTACGAGGAATTCCTTTTTTGCATCCTTTCTTTCTGACCACACAGGATTAACTTCCATTGTAAAGTTCAACTCGGCACTGTCACACAGAAGTACAGGAATCGCTCCTGCTCCTGGCTGGCTGCATAAGAATCCGCAGGTTTTCTGTTCCTCTTGTGACTTGTGTTCATCAGGAGTGTCCACAGGAGTGTCCATCTTATTTGTTCTTTTTCTTACTCCTTAGGTATATAAGAGCACTACTAGATTAGCAGTATGGATAATGGCTCTGACTTTTCCACAGGAGCAGAGCAAAACTGCTAGAAGTCTGCTGTCTGCCACGAACATAGATGTTTATTTCCCACACTCCTGATTCTTCAGGAGATAAAAAAAATCACATTAATGTCTTCAAATATCCTTCTTTAGTGGGTTAATTATCTTAGCCTTTATTAGCTAGATTAAAGAGTTGCTAATTTGGATTAATATTCCATGATGAGGCATCTAATAATTTAACCTCTTAACATTAAATTCTGGATCCTTTATTAACAGATAAGCAAATATATCCCATGTGGGCAGAGATTAAATGTATTCACATCTGAGATACAGCTTTTATTAGGCACTGTTGTAAAAGTGAAATAGTACATTAAGCATGTTTATTTATTTCAGTGCCAAACTATTTCCCATAGAACTAAGACTTAGAAACTTATTTACAAATTATCAGTCAGTTTCCTGTGATTTTTTTCATATTCAGGGAATGACAGTTTCTCAAGAAAATATATGGAAGGTAACAAGACAATTTAAAATTTTCTGGCTCTCACACAGGGTTTCTTCAGAGCTCAGGTCAAGGCTAATGTAGTATCACAGAATTTTTAAAAATTCAAAAAGCACATGTAAGTGACTACAGTCAACTGATCAGGGAATAATGCAGTAAATATTCATTTACACAGCCTTTCCTTTTCTCTAACCTTGTCTTCCCAGCAGCATCTGTGGTGACCGTGGAATATAGAACGGCACTGCACTGCAGTTGATTTCCAGTCTAGTCAGCGAGTCTGAGCTCTTTTAGAAAAGCATAACAGTACTATTGTGAAAAGGGCCTTCACTTTTAAAAATTCAATTGAAAGTGCATTTCAAAGTGTAAAGAATGTATTTATCACCTGATTTTTTTTTTCCCCCTCCTAATGCTTCCTGGGCTTTACTTCTAGGTAAATCTCACAAACCATTGTGGCTTTATGGGAGGACTGCAAAAAAACAAAAGCACTGGACTGACCACCCCGTATTTTGCTACCTCGACAGTAGAAGTAATGTTTCATGTGTCAACAAGAATGCCTTCTGATTCAGATGACTCTTTAACAAAAAAGGTGGGTGTTTCTGAATAACAGATTTTCTTTCGGTAATAAACCCAGAGAAATTAGGGTCAAAGAAAATCCAGTAACTTCTTCTAAAAAAACCATAAAATACCATAACACCTTTACCTGCTAATAGTTGGTATTTTACTGAAGTAGGTTAAGCCATATAAATTATTCTCTACCAATTTCTAATTTTGCCATACTGGTGATTTTTGCCATCATTGCAAATGTTGGCAGGATCACATGTATAGTGGTGAAAAATGAAGGGAGGTAATGGTTTGTGTAGAAGAAAAAGCATCACGTCTGAATGATGTTTTCGTACTTTGAGACTTTAAATGCCAATTAATAAATATGTGGTGAGTACTTTCTAAAATGGCTTTTTGTTCACTTAAGAGTCACATGCTGTCTATTAACATAATTTTGCCTTCAAAAAAAAGTTGTCGAATTCTTAATATTTTTAATGTTTATTGCATATAAGGTATTTTGTCTCGGAGCAGGCACAAATGCTCAACAGTGGTATGATCTCTCATAGCCACATTAAGACAAAAATGGTTTTCTGTATTGGTATTTTTTTCTTTAGAATGTAATAAATTCCACATTAGTGATAATAAGTTACAGTCTCGAACATGTGTCCTATTATAAATGAACAATTGGCTATCATTAGACCGTCCCCCGTCCTGCGTACATACATCTTCAGATGTGCTAATCCATTCAGTAGACACGTTAATGAGCATTGGTTGAAGTGTAATATTGGAGGAACTGAAGCTGGTTGACCTCAGCATGGAGTTTAATACTTGTAATTAAATTAGACAGTAGACAGTAAAGAGAGAAATAGCCATGCCTCTGGCAAGCTTCAATTATTAATGACTTTTTTGTTCTTTGTGTTCAAATTGAAGAAAAAAATATTATTGTTATTGTTATTATTATAGACTGACTATGAGTTCTAACTTCTCACTGTCGCATCTTAGGTTGGTTTGTTTGGTGGGTTTTTTTAAATTAAAATATGTTTTTTCTTGTCTGCCTGTGGTGCTGGGTCCTTTCTGTTCTTTATTTCCTGAAGTAGAGCCAGGGTAATACTTAGGTGGTTAAGTGATTTATAAAAGTGGTTTAATAGCAAAAATAACTAATTTTAAAATAAGATTGTTGCTATTGTTCTAGTATAGAACAACGTGTATATATATATTTTTCTAAGTTGACTGGCTTCTGTATTTTTTAAACAGAAACTTGGTTTTGTAAAACACAGCTTGTAGTTATCCTTACAATGTTTGTTTATAATCTGTTTGAATTACAGTATTAAAAAGTGTTGACAAGGGGGAAGATGGGTCACAGTGAAAATTAATTAACAATAAATAATTTGCAAATGCTGTGGACTTCAGCAGAACACACAGGCGGGATCTCGTCTATGCTTCCAGCAGCACCCTGAATCTACATATAGCTGTTCCTGCCAGGCAAGGTTCAGTGCTGGTCCAGGCTTCCTGTGATTTAGCTTGAGAAAATGGTGTCAGCTGGACTTTTTAACAACTCCAGCTTGCCCCAGGCCTGTTTCTCTCCTCCTTCACCCACAATCTCACTCGTCAGTAATGTGGAATATTTGAGGTCTGGATATGTAGAGTGTATCAAAAGGCTGGGATTATATTTGTAGCTCGGCTACGGATGGGCTGTTTAATCAAGCTACTTTATTTCTGTGTGACTTTCTTTCCTATTCTTCCTCAGTGTGTGGTTTTTCTTCTTTTTAAGCCCAGTTTCCCCATGATTGGAGGCTTGTGAGCCTGCCTTCATGTCTCTCCTCCCTTCCCTAACACCTTTTGGCCCATTTCAATTGAATTTGAGAGAGACATGTTTCAAAGGTGTTAATTTCATGTATGTTTAATGAAGATAGGCTAAGTAAAGGAGATAGAGTGAGAGACAGTGCTCCTACTCAGCAGGTAAAGACTGCATGGGAAGAAACATTAGACATCAAGGAACCAGCACCAGAGAGAGATGCTATGAAAGTCATCCCAAACTTGAGAAAAGCATCAACTGAAGTTTGCATCTTGGGAGAAACCAGCAAGTGAAACCAGGAGACATGAGTAGGAAAACAGGCTTAATTCTTAGTTCTGCAACTACTCATGCTGCTTAGACTGAACACATCAGCAAAAGGAATGTGTTTTGTGAGTTGCTGTCCAGCTCACACACAGTATAGGGGACCTCAGAATCATTTGAGAGCCGTGTGTGTGCTAGCAATTGTAATTGTTCTGAGTGCATGTACTGTTCATGACCTCCAGAGAAACTTGAGTTTTGAGCTTCTCTACAGGTCTTTCATGTGCTTTCTTTGTCTATTTCATTCAATGGGAGAAAAACAAGCAAACTTGCAGTAGTTGGCTTAGAACTGCTGCTGTTTTTTATATTGTAAATGTGCCTAGAGGTGCATGATAGGTTCATCTTATAAATGGAAATTAAATTAAATTAAAACAAAACTTCTTCCTGCCAGTCCAGAGACTACAAAATCAAGATTCTGCTGTTTCAGAGTCTAAGCCAATTTTAAACTTATTTTCCATCAGTCTTACAGACTAGTAAATAAAACTTTTTAGTGTACTGGATACCTCTGCAGCATTTGTTTCTGAAGACATGAACAAGAGCAAGAAAAGACATGAATTCAGGGAGAACAGGTGAAAAGCTTCTGAATTTGTAAAGGAACTTAACGCTGAAATGCATATATAAAATAGGTATTTAATTTTCAAATAGTAAATTAAAGATTTAATGCTGATAATGTGATCCGTTTTTTTTTCTTAGAATTAAAGGTTAGAGTAAAAGGTATTTACACTACCCTTACAAGAACAAACTTGCAAGTAAAATATCAGGATTAAATGAAACTGTGAAGACTCTCAGTTCACAAAGTGAGAAAGCTCATTGTATGTGCCTCTAAAGCTTATCACCTGTTTAGCTCCTCCTTCCTTAGCCTGATAAAAGACTGAAGGCATTGTAGATGAGAATATTATACACAAGATATGTAAATAAAAAGTAGTAATGTTATTAATGATTGGAATACTAATTCGTCTTGGGCTTTGTGTGTATTAACATGATTCTAGGTTATGTGTGACATCGTCCTAACCACATAAAAGATTTATAGCTCCCAGTATTTATAGCTAGTTTTTTTTATTGTGGTATTAACATGTATTGGGAACTTGGAGGTTTATAGATGTAAATTATTAGTACAATGGTTTTTGGAGTTACAATTAAGTACACATGTTGCTTTAAAAAAAAAAACAAACACACCATAGTTGTTGAAACAAAGTTTTGTGAAAAATTCAACTAGAAGGTACATATGCTGTAGACAGCAGTGCTGCTTACATTTAACAGGCAAAAGTAGCTGCATTAAGCCATTACTTCAGATGTTTCTGCTCCTTCTGTTCTTTTTATAATGAACACTTTCATTTTTGAAGAAGCAAAAAGTTGGGGCTAGCTGTTGTATCATAAGAAAATATAATAGCCTTTTTTCTCCCTCCTTTAGGTAAGTGAGTATTAGAAATTACAGTAATTTTGGCACGAGTTCAAGGGTTAATGCAACAGATAAATAAAAGGAATTTTCTGTAAATTGAGCCCTGCATTATTTCACTTGTCTTGCCTTTCCAAACCTAACTCATTTAATTTTAAAAAGTAAATACTTAAATTCTTCCTGACAGTGTGCTTTGCTTTTACTATCGTTTATTACTTCAATTATACTTGGTATCACTTAGAACAATCTGCCATTTGGAAATTTCAGTATAGCCTGCAGCTTAGTATTAAGTCTGGCTGCTATTGTAACATGTACAGCATATGACACTAATGTATCAAAATTAGATTTGATCATCCCTCCTGGTTATATTTATTTCACGTTTCTTTTGTATTCAGTTAACATAAATGTATTAGGAGAGCTGACACATGATGATGGCTATAGAGTAAGAATATTTTAAAGTATTTTGAGTTAAATTTGAAATTTCAGGTAACCTAACAGTCGGTCATTTTTATATATTTGTTTTAATGGAGTAGAGTTTCAAAGCCAGCCTAAAAAAATCTGTTTGTCTCTGACATCTCCTCAGGGCTGTCTTCCCGACAGCTCAGGTTCAAAATGGCTAAAACAGAGTTCTTAATCTCTTTCTCATTGCCACCTTTCTGGATCACCACAGATAACACGACCATTGTGCCTGTCACTTGTGCCCATAGCCTGAAATCATCTGTCATTTGGTCCACTTTCTGGATTCTTATATTCAGCCTGTGCTTAAGGCTCTGTTCTTTTTTCTACGTAACATTTCTTGCAGCATAGCCTTTCCATACACACTTTATTTACCCACTATATCCTAAACTGTTGTTTTGATTGCTGAAGCTTCCTTTCTCTGGTCTTGACACTTTCATTCTTGAAGAATGCTGCTATAAAAGACATTTTTCTAATCTTTAATGCCTTTTTACGGTTTCTTTGCATTTGTCCATCTCCATTTTGTGTCTTCCCTTATGCTTAGGTAATAAACTCTCTAGAGCAGTTTGATCTGCATTTATGCAGTATTTAGCATTTTGGAATATTGGTATGTAACCTATAGTTCCAGGTTTTTCAGCTATAGTGTATTACCGGTTACTTGAAGTATAACATTATTTTAGAGAATTTTATTATTTATATTATTCCTGTGCCTTACGTCTCTCATAAGGATTTGCACTTTGTTTTGCTTACCGTGATTTATGCACATACAAAGTTGTAAATTTAGGAAGACAAGGTCAGGAAATGAGTGTGAAGATGTCGTGGCTTACACAACTGGTGGTGAGTTTTGAGTAACCATTGACACAGATTTCAGTCTTGGTACCTGTACATTCTGTGTGCACCAAATCTGATTCTGTTAGATAACATTGTGACCACACCTTCTTGGGAAACCATGTTGCTGTCTGTCCTTTAGGTTTCAATGAGCAGAGGTGGTTGTAGCTCAGTATCTTTGTACCACTTGTGTCCAGGACACTGAATTCTGGGATGCTTCCAGTTCAATACAAAGACATAAAGAATCCAGATCAAAGTTGGAAGAGGTCAGGCTCTGGCTCTCCTGTGGTGTAATAATTACAGCGAATGATGGATTCTCCAAATGTTTGCTGTGCTTGCAGGAGAGCTTTGTCATGGAGCACTGCTCAATTTCAAGATCCTTCAATAGGGAACCGAAAAATGAAGAAGAAAACCTGAAATTCTTCTTTCTAAAAAGTTTATGCAAAACCTAGCAGACCTTGGAAAACTTCTAGACAATTTCAGGTGTTGGATCTCTTCCCTGAATCAAGTGTTGTTGATGAGTCAAGTTACCACCGTTCAAGCTTTCTCATAAGCTTTGCTTGCTGACCATTGTGGGGACATCTGAAAGAAGCAATAAGGGGCACTATATTAGTGTCAGAGCTGCTTCTGATCTACTGTTGAAAAAGGAACAGAATGACTTACCCAGAACTTAATTATTCTCCAAACATAAAGATAAAACCAGCAACACCCTATCTTGTTTATTTGTCTATTATTTTTGTCAGTCTTCTACCTCCTATAACGGAAACAAGGCATTGATCATAGTTTTGATCTTGAGTACTTTAAATCGTGTTATAAACTACCGTTCACTGTTTATACCATCATCCACCTACTTGCACCATCTGATTTTGACTCTCAGTCCATTTTATTTCACACAGATGCCATTCTACACTTCACTCAAACTGGATCTTTGTCAAATCATTCTTGGTAGTATTCATGAGGTGAAACACACCTGACAGGACTTGGAACTCATTGGAATAATCTGATTCATTTTCCTCTGAAGCAGTTAGTGCTTTTAGCCTGGAATGTATACTCACCTCTATGGGGGTACAAAGCAAACTTTGAAATCGGAGAGAAAAGTCACTAATGGCTTCAGTACGCTTGGCATCCAAAAATATGTGCCCCTTGTCAGTAGTCCTCCTCCTGAAATAATCACACAATACACTTTTATCACACCAAAATCTGTGTCAGTCTGATGTGAAAGCATGCATCAGTAGCCATGCTCCGTCTGGGTAGCTTTCACAGAAGTGCAAGAACTGATGTCCTGTCTGATTAGCTGCAGGTATCAGTAACGGGTACACAGGGGCAACTGTTGATAAATGAAATTCAGAGGCAGTGTTGCCCTCAAGAAGCTGCACTATGGAAACTCCATATGTTTTGGATTTCAAAGCCATTTATTTGGCATGTACACCATCCCTTGTTTCTAACAGTGTATGAGTTTGTTGTCTTTGAGTCGAAAGATGGTAAGTAAAGGAGAGCTAATTCTTCTAGTAAATAGTTCGATATTGCTGAATTAGGAATGGTGCGATTCCTAATGTGATGGGTGTATCAGCCCTAGTTCTGCTTTTGGCAGTGAGTTCAGTTCAGTCAATGCACCAGATGGCCATCCCTCAATCCAGGATCGTGCAGTTTTTTCACATTCCACAAGATTTCATATCTAAACTGATTTGCCTCTTGCTTTCTCTTTGGTTAGGCAGCCTCATCCTTCCTGAGCTTTTCACTTGCTTGGAAGTGCGGGCCCATCAGTTCCTCATACCCTTCTCTCATTGTGATATTTCAACAGATAGTTTGACTGTCACTTCACATAGGAAGGTAGGAGAGGTTCAGGCCCTCAGAACAATTCCACATTTAGTTGTCTTTTATGACGTTTGTCACTGCTAAGTGTCATCCAAGGTTTCTGCAGCTGGTGTTTGCATGTTGCACATCAGTCATTCAGGTTGCTGCCTGGTTTTGTTCTAGTCAAATAAAACTCAGCATAGTGAATGTTGTTATAACCAATTCTTTTGTTGGGCTGGGTTTACGGTTGGCACAAGAGCATCCCTAACTAAGTGTTGTTCAGAATAATTCAGCCATCTACAAAAGAGGCAAGAACAGCTTGCTTCAAAGGAACTGCAGTCATTGTAGATTAGATGTATGTATGATCTGGTCCAGGCAAGACAAATGACTTGTTGAGCATCAGGCAAGATGTAAGGTATTGATGCCATCTGTCCTTTGCCCAGTCCAACACTGAAGAAAATCCTTTTCTTGTAGAAATACAACCGTGTTTTTCAGTCTGATACAATTTAAAGCCAGCAGAGAAGAGCAGAGGCAGCTTCTTTTTTTCCTCTTTTTTTTTTCCTTCTTTCTTTAAAAGTCTGCTGCTGACAACCAGTATAAGCCTTTAGATAAGACGAAGGTAGCGTTCCAGGAGGTTTTGTAGTATAAACAAGTGAATACTTGCAATGAAATTTCTCTGATGACTGTGTATATGTTTTGCTTTTATTTAAAGTGCAGTTATATTCTGAAAATGAATACAGAAAATTGTTGCCTTTTATATACAATAACTTCTTGTAAGTGCTCAGATTAGTATCTGCATGTTACCTGTTAACAGCAGTTCACAGTGCTGTCCTTTGAATAACATCAAGGCAATTGTTTGACAAATTCTTCCTACCTAAAGTCGTGCAAACAAACTGAAAACTGTGGGTGAAGACAATTGTCGGCTATAACTGGTGATGCACGAGGAGGAAAAAATGAGATTACAGCTTGAATTTTCAGAAATGGCCCTTACTGGAAAGAAACTCACGTTTAATAATCTTGAATGTATTTGATCAGTATACGTAAAGCCTCTCTCCATGATGTTAACATTTGTTTATCAGATGATAGTGTTTAGCAGAAGGAGCATTTTGGAGCTTCAGTGCAGATAATTCCAAAGTGTTCAAGATATTCTTTAATTTGGTTATATGATTACAACTGAGGATACAACATGGATTTTGAGGAACCCATTCGGCCGTTGTGAGCCAAATCAAGAGCCATTTGGGTTTTTGGGGGGTGGGGTGAGTTATTTTTACAAAGGTATACGGGTTTTATGGGAAATGAGCATTTAGTTTAGTTAATCTAGGAGCTATGGAAAATGCAGTAGCTGTTCTCCTTTAAAAGCTTTTTGTTTGTAGGAGCCAGTTTGGAATTTGGCTAGAATGATGAGGTTAAAGACTGCTCAGATACGTAGCTTTTAAACAGATGTTCATTCATATTCTTTAAAAATTCATATAGAATTTAGTAATTCGCTGCCTGTCAATGATGGCAATCTTGAAACCATTTTAGTAAATCAGATTGAATCACTTTGCATTCTTGAGATAATACAAACAAAATTTTAGCTTTCAGTAGAAAACAGATATTGACACATCTGTTAATTTAAATAGACATTGGCACCAGCGTATAAAAATGTATAGCACAAACCAATACTGTGAACTAATACTGTCATTGAAATTGTAAGAGAGCTATAGTGTAATCTGGTTATTTTATTCATTTTTCTTTATTTCTTTTTAGTGGGTTCGTCCTTTTGAAATATGAGCATTTAGTATAGCTGTATGGCTATAGAATATATTTAAACTGACGGGTTTTTATCCCTGCTTTTCCAGCTAAGACATTTAGGAAATGATGAAGTACACATTGTGTGGTCAGAGCATACTCGAGATTATAGAAGAGGAATAATTCCAACAGAATTTGGTGATGTTCTTATAGTTATCTATCCCATGAAAAACCATATGTTCAGTATCCAGATCATGAAAAAGCCTGAGGTAAGGGGTTTTTTTCTTTTGTGTTCCCTTCATGTGTTTAATACGAACTGAGTTGTGGTTTGAATCTGAGTTTTCGGTGTAAGAGATTGATCCAACAAGGTGATGTGTCTTTAACATTGACAATTGCAGTGGTGGTAGGAGGAAGAGGAAGAACTCAGTGTTACAATGCATAGTAAAATCAGTAACTTGAAATTGCAAAGGCCTGATCCTGTCAAGCATATCTGCTAACATCATAAACTAGAAACGAAGCTAGAATATTCTGCCTAATCATTTAAGTATTAAGACAAACTTGGCAAACTTTTTTATCAAATTTGATACGTGACTGGGAGTTGAATAATACCCTGCTCCAGCTTTCTCCATCCATGTCTGTCTTCTTCTCAAAGCTAGTTTTCACTTTTTCCTTGACTCCACACAAGAATTGGAGATTAATTCGGCAAAGCAAGACCATTCAGCTCCTAGGCATATGAACACACACTCTTTCTAATGACTGTTCCTCAAATGTCTGTGCTGGCCCTGTTCTTAAAACAGTGGTTTAGGGCAGCAAACACTGACTGAGTAAAAGTAGTCATGAGTGTTTGTACTGCTCAATTTCTGTGTGTGATGTCACTTGCCATGAATTTCTATACTTCAAATATTAAAATTCTTTCTAGAAGCACTAATATTAATAAATGAGGTATGACAGGAATAGGATTCCCTCTATATGATGACTGTCTCTATCTGATGATAGGCATGAAATAATACCCAGTAGATGGTCTTGTTATTACTGGGTTACTTATGTTTTTAATTAATAAGTATATTCTTTCTCTTGCTACTTTAAGTACGAAGAGTTGCATTATTGGGGGGTGTGCAGTTTAAGAAGGAAAAAGAAAACTGCTGAGAGCAGGGATTGTTGTTACTCCAGCAAGAGGTCCTTGTATGTGGAAAAAAAAGAAGTGCCTTCCATCAGATTTCAGTATTCTCAAAACTACATTAAATGACTGATGGCAAAAATGGTACAGGGATCTAAAATTCTTTTGCAGCATTGGTTTCATCTTAGCAGGAAGAATATTTAGTGTTCACTCTGCTGCCTTTGCTGACCTGATGCACAGATTTGCTCTTCTTCACATGCTTTATGCTAGCAGCTTCAGAACTTTATTCAGACGTATAGGAAATGAAGATACTTAAGAGAGTTTTAATTTTTTTTTTTTAATTGCAAAATGGTGATTGATTAGAGAAAAATGTAATGCCAAAACCTAAGATTCCTCTGTTCTGTAAACCTTTTGGGTGCTACCTATACTAAACATCAAGGTTTTCTACTGATCTCACAAATAAGGCTTTACAGTTAGGGTTCAAAGAGGCCAAACTTTCACCACAGATTTCTCCTATAAAGGGCTTACAATCTATTTGTATAGATACCATAGATAGGAAGAAGAACAGATAGGAGAAAAAAAGAAAATGGAAGGTGAGGGTTGGTCCACCAGTAGTTGTATGATAGTTGCACATTGAGTTGGTCCTTATGGACATGTTATATCTAAAACTATGATAAATATTATTTTAAAATTTGAGTAATTATTCCTTTTGCTTACTACCACCTACAAGATTGTCATCTAGCCTTTCAACCTCATAAACATCATATGCATGACTGTTCCTAGGATTTTGGCAGCAAATGTTGGAAATAAGCTTTGATGAGACATAGTATTCAAATGGTTGCTTAATTTTCTTCAAATACTGTGTTATCTGTTACCAAGGATATCAAGCAGTTATATGGCTGTATATTTCCACAAGAGAAAAGGTCTGTCATGGAGCACAATAACTGGTCTGATTATCTAGCAATGAGGAGAAAAAAAAAGATATATTTGAGTGCTCTATTGTTAATGTTGATTGCTAATTGTTATAGCTAAGATCTTGCTTTATGTTGAAGTTCTTAATTTTTTTTTCAGGTTCCATTTTTTGGTCCACTCTTTGATGGTGCTATTGTGAATGGAAAAATTCTTCCTATTATGGTTCGTGCAACAGCTATAAATGCAAGCCGTGCATTGAAATCGTTAATCCCATTATACCAAAACTTGTATCCTTTCACTCAAATGGTTTCCAAGGCATATACATTCCCTTGCAGTTCTACAGATATGATCTTCATGTTTTCTGTCATCTTATATCTTTGTCAGATTAACATAGGGAATATATTTTCAATTTTTTATGGTGATCGTGCCTTTAAGGTCTATCTATATAATTGCCGTAGAAGACAATTCAGACGAAGACCAGCTTTTTATAATTAAGTGAAGAATTAATTCAGTGCTGAAAAATCGACTGTTTCTAGTATTTTATAACATGTACTTATCACTTCTTGTTAAACAAAATCATTTCAATGACCATTTTGTGAGTAGACTTTCTAAAATAGCAATGTCATGGTGTTAATAATCTTTCTTTCCTTAAAGTTTTTTAATATTTATCCAATATTAATGTGACACAGTTTTGTTTTCTAGTTCCAAGAGGGATATGAATGCTGTTTTCCTTCAAGATGAGAGATTTGTTACATTTTTGTATACAGATTTTGTTATTCGGCTCAGAATACAAAGTTGTTGCCAAAATGATGTTAGTGTCTTTGTAAAGATGTCAGAAAAGGTTATCTTTTTTTTTTTTTTTTCCTCCCTATTGGAACTGAAATTTTCGTTTTTTGAAAGGGCTGCTCTTGGAAGAATAGATTTACCAACCAGAAATTAAAAAACATAAGGTAAGTCAGTCACTTATACCTCTCCCCTTCTTAAGATTGAGTTCTGTTATATACCTGTTAGTTAAATCAACAAGAACATACTATTTTTTAATTTCACAAATTGAAAGGTTAAGTTTAAATGTTGATCCAAAAGAAATTCTGTGCTTAATTTCCACCCAAGCTGTAGATATTTGTATTTCTCATGTGATAGATTGTTGCTAAAATACTCTGTTTTTTCTAAGGCTGACTATTAGTACTCAGAGTTTTGGATTAGATATGATGAAGTGGATTTACAGATGAATGATGGATGGTGTTTGATGTGATCACATTAAATGACGTTTGTGCCATTTCTGTAGATGACAGATGTTGATTCATTGTATTTTTATGTTTGGAAAGGTCCGATCTTTTTGTCATTACTCAAGTGGCTTAATCAAAGAATTTAAAATGTATTATCATCATTATACCATGAAAAGTGATGGCTTATAGCATTATATTGATGTATAGTGATGAGCAACTGGAAAACAATTTACTTTGAAATAGCAAACTCGGTACCAGAAAACTCCACAAACTTGTATGTTTCAACTTCTTTACAGAATATGGAAGTTGTAATAAGTTCCTTGGACATAGCTTGCCAGCTCAATGTTGGCCAGTTACGAAGAGCTGTGTATATTGCACATTCACGTTTAATTCAGTTCTCCAAATTGTACTTTTTATATGCATCAAAGCACTGCCTGTCATTTATGACATAATGTGGCCTCCATTACAATGTTGATATTTGTCTCCTAATATGGTTAGCATGATAACTGCAAAGTATTACGTATATTTAATATTAGGTAGTATTGGTTGGTGGGTTTCGTATCATCACTTGGTAAGCTTATGAAGCACCAGTTGATTGGGTACTGATGTTAAAGGGCAGCTTTGTGAAGTAGTTGGTGGAATTCTTTTTCCATCTGGCTTGGAGTATCTTATATTCAGTGCTTTGTATAATACTTTAAAAATTAAAATGGGGGTGTGGGCAGTTCTTTAAAAGCTCTTTGCTTGGCATGATATTAGAAAAAATGCCACAAACTTCCCTGGCTTGAATTAGGCTATCGTGGAGTCAGTTGCGTCAGTGGAGAACAGCAAAAAAATGTTAAACTTCAAAGTTTGGCCTAGCTCTCAATGGTTTAAAAAACTCTTGACTAAAAACATCATGGACATGCTCTTGGTGTTCAACCCATGGCCAGATTTGAGGTCAAGAAGGAATTTCCCTCATACAAGAATGGCAAAGACTGGTGGGTGTTTCCTGTAACATGGACATGGTCTGTTAACTAGGAATATTTGAAAATTGAATCTAATTATGTTCCTGCAATAGCGGGGAGTTGAAGACATCAAGGATTGTCTTTAGTGTCTCCTGCTTTTTTCCTCTGGCATATTTTAGCTATGGCTGTAGGAGTTCACTACTGGCTTTTAAGTTTGTTGTGGACTGAAGAGTGTGAGGGCAGGAGTATTTTATGGTCTGTGGTTAAATAGCTTTCCTGGAGACCCCACCAGACTTAATGTCTCTTGCAGAAGACAGGACTCATTGATCGAGGTGGTCTTCCCTTGTGTCGGAGTGTTGCTGGAGCAAAGGAAAAGAGGGCTCAGAGTGGTGAAAACAATACGTTCGAAGAGGGAGGGGAAAAAAGGAACAGGAAAGCTCTTTTGCAGAAGGTACACCAAAAGCAGAGACCCAGCTGGAAAAGTGAAGCTGATAAGCAAGGCTTCCCACATGTCCAGGACCATAACAGTGTCAGTGAAAGAGAATTCTGAAGTGATCTGCTCAAAATTAATTTTTGTTTACTTACTTATGAGTATCTAATATACTGGAGCAGCGTTAGTTTATTAGGAACTTTGATGATGGTTAGTAGAAATTCAGTTTAATGTGGATGTTGAGGGAACAAGAATACTTGAGGCTTTTGTCAAACAGAACATGTTTCAAGCCCTACACTTCTGTGTTAGCTCACTTAACGTCAAAGCCAGCATCAGCGTACAGATGTCTCTGTGCCTGCAGGTGTGTGGTTCATTTCACTGTGCTGTGTAATACCTGGTGGGCACCTTTTGGCTCACTGTGGAGTTGATGATGTTACGTAGGTCTGTGCTTATCTATATTTGAGAAATATTTACAATGTCACCTTGCAGATCTTTGTGGTGAGGATGGATCATGGTAAACTCTTAATTAAAAAGTAAGGCTGTATTGGTTTGCTTGCGTATGGGATGTGAAGAAAGTGGCACTGAGTTTGGCCCTCCTACTTCCAAGGAGGCCTTATCCGTCCTCCGAGTTAGTGCATTCTCTAAGTGCAGACCTGACTGAAAAAATCAGCTGTCATTTGTAATCAGCAGGGATATTCAGTCCTCTTCATGTAACCTGATTGCAACTTTTTCTTTATTGCGCTAGTCTGTTAATCACGATGTGGCAATGGGTAGTACGTGTGAATAGTATAATAATGGTTGCATGGATACAGGAAATTCTGCTCATCTCCCTTTTATAGTCTGCCCTGACTTTGAGCATGTATTGTACGGTCTGAAGTAGCTTTCTGAGATTGACATATTCTGTCAATCACCTTCCTCTTTCTGACATTATTTTGATCCTTCTGATAGCAAACTTAGATAGCAAAACATTTTGAAGATTTGACTTTTTAATGATTTTTAAAGGTTTTATCTGCTCTGTGTTTTTATTCTTTGCTCAGAATACTATAACAATATGCTTCCATATTGTAGTATTTTAAGATTAAAAATCTACTCAATTTATCAGCAAATACCAGTCGGGCATGGCAGGTATCCTGCTTTAACTTGATGCTTGACATTTTCATTGCTGCAGCTGCGTGAAGAGAATATTACCATTTTGTGTGGAGTTTCTGCATTGATTTGTGGAATTTGCTTTAGTTTCCCCTTCGAGGATTCTGCAGTCCCTCACTATCTTTTGGTGGCCTGGCTTTCTTGTAACAGTACCCCCTCACCAACAGGCGGCACAGATGCACACAGTAGCAGGTGACACACACAAAAGACTTGTATTGTCTTGCTAATGAAGCGGCAGTACCCCCTTCTCTACCTCATAGCTAACGTGTTTCTTCTTCTCATTGCATTTGTCGTTGTCATAAAAAGTACATGTTTATCTCCTGAATACACTCCAGCTGCACATATGCTAGGAAAACTTCTGAGACTCATAACTGCAGGTGTAATAATGGGACTGAATGTTGAGAACAATCATTTTCACTATGATGTAGAATAAGGAGGCCAATATTTAGGGGATTGTTAAATACTCTTTATTTACTAAATTGCATTGAAGCTTCTGATAGGAATAGGTTTATTCATGGCTTGCCTCTCAGAGCAAGCACTTTATCGCATTCTGAATTCAGAATCTACCATGTGTAGGAAATGGATCAATATGAAATATTTGGAACAATAGAAAGAGTGGCTTCATATAAAATTTTACTTGAACTTCCTGAATAAACAACAGATGTTAGCCAGATGCCAAGAGGTACACCAAGATAACGTTCTTTACTGAGCATAGTAAGCACCTCTAGTGATCCAACTTGTTAAAATTATTTGTCATACAACAAAACAACTAGAAACCTTGTGGGAGTGGAATTCAAAATGTGAAACAACTTGTGTTACTTCTTCCACATTATACACAAATTTTGGAGTGTTAACAACTATTCCAAACTATCTACACTTATAGTGCAGTTAGTGCAAATAGTGCAATTCAGACATCATAATGCTTTGTCTCTTATGCAGTATTCCCCTCCCAAAGGATGCTACCTAATATGTAGCTAGACACACAGCAAGAAATCGTATTTAGCATCTTTTAAATCTGAAATTCGTTGAAATTTTAGAACACCTGGAATATAGGTGTTCTATATATATATATAATCATCATAGCATAATTTTCACCTCTTTATAATAATCTACAAAGTTTTGACCTAATGCCAAGAATTCTTCAACCAATTAGATTTCTTTTTTTTGGTGTTGAATGAAACATTAAATAGCAAAAATATAATGCTGTTCTAATTATTCCATCTACAAAATATTATAGAATAAATCTTAATCTAAATGATTTGATAAATTAATCTTTTTTATCAAAACTGGAAATTATACATCCCCCTATCTTTTTTGACATTGTATTCCTAAACAGTTGGTACTTGATGTATTGTAGCTAACCTTTTTAGACAGTTGTCTTCCAGAGAAGGGAAGATACTAACTCCATATGGTATCTGACAAGACAGTAACTTCTTTATGAATAAAGTAATGTGTTTGAGTGGTTTGTTAAAAGTTTCCTCTGTATTAAAACCTCATCGCTTAGAAGAAGCTTTCTTGCTTGATGTGATACTCAGCGGCCC